TTTTCACACAAGCAAGAAAACTAAGAAGATTTAGACCGTGATTCCTCGCTGCTTACAGTATACTGTAGTAAATACCAAGCAAGTCACGATTGCAAAATCGAGAGGTTCAGGGAAGTTAAACTAACACATGATGTTACCCTTCTTTTAACAAAATGCAAGGTACGTGCTTTGTGAGCTTTCCCTAGCTATCAAGTGTTGAAAATCGTTGACGTCCGTGTCTGTGTTCAGAACAGATATGTTAGCATCCGAACACATTTTTAGCGACCAAGGTCAGTAGACATTCTCCTTGGTCGTGAAATTGTCCAATTGGAGTTTCGCTGTGTTCAACGCAGGACAGAAGAGTGAGTTAAACAGTAAAAACAGGGCAGTAGCGGCATGCTCTCGGCCGGTCGGAGTTCAGTAGTTTCCCCAAGGGTGTGTCTTAGCAGCTGAGACTGCTGAATAACTGCTGTATCGCTGCCCAGAGTGACACAGTACACGAGAAAGTCACAGGCACACAGGAACAAACTTGCTTGTAGTTTAAGAACTCACGTCGACTGTCACCGTTGACTCTGCTGTGGTGGATTATTAGCAGAGAAATTTCACAGTACGATAAGAAGGCTTGTGTTGAAACTTTTTGAGAGACTGAGTCATACTGTATTAAGCTCTATCTGTAAAGATCTACTGAAGGGACAGTGGAGTTGTATTTGAAGTGGAGTTCTATTTTTTAAATGTGTTGATAGGAAAACTGGGAAATTACGAGTCCTGAATTTTCTTTTAAAGCTGGAAATCTGGAATCCTGAATTGGGAATAAATCAGAAGGCTTTTACCAAATCCGGGTTTTCAACATCTTTCAAGTTGTTGTTAAATCTTCAATCATGGGATCAGTTAATAAACTGTTTATACTGGGTGAGTCTTGCTTAATAATACTTTCAGATTTCTCTTGGCGTTTATTTTAATTTAATTAAGATGCTTTTAAAACAATTTTCTGACTTTTAAAAGTACCCTTTAAAGCCAGGTTTCAATATTAGTGTTTGGAAAAGCCCCATTCTTAGTATAAATACTGCCGGTAAACTAATTCAGTATCGTTAAGCACTTTTAATTGAATGTGTGGTTGCAGAATTTTGACAGGAGAGTGGTGCCATTTGAAAGCGGTTGAATCGCATAGTTTTTTACATGCTTTCTCCTCTTAAATTCAATCATAATCCATTCTATTTTAACATCCATTAAACATTTTCGGATACAGATCTTAAATTGTGCAAAATCACATAATTCCCTGACACAATACTTATTTTAAGCTAGCAACAGTTTTCAATATTCCGACTGAATATAAGGTCTGTTTAATATATTCAATGATAGATCAGTGTTATGGGTGTCTGTGTAGTTTCAAGACTCAACTGATCGTGGGTGCCGTGGTGTATTAAATTATTGAAGGTGTTTGTGTTGCTGTCAGTTTGCAAGAGATGGCGATGTTGTGAAGCAAGCTGCTTGAAAAAGAAAATACAAATCGTTTTATTTGTAGAGTATCCAAATTCTTTTTAGTTACCAGTTACTCCTTGTGCTAAACCTTGGCGGAAGTGTAGGTCTACAGTATGTTTACTAGCGCTGCTGTCCGATAGGGGAGGGAGTGGGTGCGATGTACCGGTTTCTGGTATCCCAGCTGAGGTTTTGAGGGAAGTCAGCACGTCGCGTGGAGGATTACTTTCAAAATCTCTGGTTTCTGGCCGCGTATCTTGGAAAAGCGCCGGCAAATAACTAAAATAAGAGCTACCGATTTACTTGCCAGTTAGCCTGTGTTTCTACAGTACGTTGGGTGACTGTAATCTGGGAAATGGATATCTCTAAACGAAACGAGATCAACGCTTATTGATAGGTGGTCTTGGAGGGAGGTTTCTGGGTTTTGAAGAATTACTGAAACTGAGTGTTTAGCAAAAACGGAACACTAGGGCAGCAGCTATAACTAAATATGAAAAGATCATTATGAAAATTCACAAACGTTATCTGTCGCTTGCTACAGTACATTATTTTCACTACACAACCTGACTGAATATACCTTTCATACAGTTTGCATACTGAAAGAAGGAGTACTTGTTAGTTTTAAACATAAGGACTTCCAGAACCTTTTAAAAAGAAAACCGTTTTTATATAAAATACTTTTTTGAAGGCTTTCGTATCTGTTTTAAAGCTGTTTTGTAAAACTGTTAGTCCCTCCTAATCCCAGGGCAAGAAGAATTGGATCACGTTTTAAACTCTTTGTCCTGGACTGAGAGAATTGCTTTGAAACAGCGTAAAATTTAGTATTTTCGGAAGCTGGGTGGTTACTTCTTTGTAATTGATCCACTCTTGAGAAAGCCAACACACACCGTAAGAATGCCTTGCCTTAACTCTATTACAGATGTCTGCTAGAGCACAGTTTTCTTATGCAGTTTACAGTAACATAAAGATGCACCCGCTTTTCAAAATATTAATAATCTCCAAGAGGATTCAGTGCTGTAACTTTGGGCCCAGCAAGGGCAGATTAAATTGCAAAGGTTTTGAAATATTTGCTGCCACAGTCCTGTCTTATCCTTCAAACGGGATCGCCTTTAACTGAGGCTGAGATAAGGGTAGTGGTGTAGGAGGCTGAATCGCACAATTGCACTTCTGAATGCAACCCGTGTACTTACCTTACCATTATTAGTGGCAGAAAGCAAATTGCCCAGCTACCGAGGGTTCTCTGCTATTTAATTGGTGCGTCTCTTGGCAAGCTGAAGACTGTTGAGAGTAGTGTATGGTGATACAAAAGATAAGATCACTTTATTAGCCATATACAATTTCTTGCATTAGGAATTTGTCTTTTCACATACCTTTGTTTGCTCTCAATGAGACACACAGGTGGGGAAAGTAGCTTGGTGTCAGAGTGCAGGGTCAGCCATCTATACAGCAGCCCTGGAGCAGTTTGGGTTAAGGGCCTTGCTCAGGGGCCCAAAGGAGTAGGATTTCTCTGCGGGCTGCAGGATTTGAACCAGTCACCTTCCGCTCACAGACATAGATCCTTAGCCACCGCTCCGCCACAAGCTCATCCAAATGTTTAAAATAGAATTTGAATGTCTGAACTCCACAGGGAGCCATTGCAAGACAATTACACTTGTGAGATACTGTATATCTGTAAGGGTTTGGTCTGATTAAAATTCAAGTTTATGAAGTTGCATTCGGCAACTTAATAAGAACGTTTTGAGTATTTTTTTCCCGAAAAAGTTCTACATGCGTATTGGCATTTCTATATCCTTCTGGAACAGGTACTGTTCATCCAAGAGCAGATGGGAGTGTTGTTATGCAAGTGGGAAAAAATGACCCAGTGGTACAGTACATTATCTTTGCTCATGTGCTCTTCAAAGGACAGATTGTGATAAAAAATAACTCTAAATCCAATGCGATGCCTTGATGTTTTAGACACAACTGGTTTCGGAATTTACTTTGGTTGCAGAGATCAGATAACAACTGGTGAATTGAGGCGTGGGATGTTAGAATTCCGTGTATGAGAAACGTGCCTGGAATACCTGTAACTGTGTCCACCAACGCAGTGTTTTCACATTTGTTATCGGTGGCTGAAAATCTCCTGTACTTCACTTTATTTTGGATTTTGTAAGATTTTACAACCCACGGCTGACAATAATATACAGTACAGTGAAACAGTGCTACCAAACACGGCTATAAATAAGGAGTGATGTTGTAATAGAAACATAAACCTAGAAATAAATATTTGAGACCATACATGCAGACGCACCATGCAAACTCCGTACAGAAGGTGCATAGTCCACATTCTTAGCTAGTGAATCAACTCTCAGCTCAGCTGTAATATAAGCATATACCACCAAGTCTTTGCAATGTTTTTGTTATAGTACCATTTTTCAAAGACCCGTATTAAATGGGTTTAATAGAATTACAAGACGTAGCAGTTGTAAGTAGACATATGAAAGAAAGCTTACAAAAGGAATGATCTTTCCAGAACAATATACTGTATATCTCAGGAAGTGGATCACCATTTCATAGCAGTTTCATTTCTTTGCAGTTTCACATCTGGGGGCTTTTGTACAGTTTGTAGTGATTCCACAAGAATTGCAATTTATATTACTTAGACTGATACATGCACAGTGTAGAATAAAGAAAACTTAACGCTGAAATATACAATACTGCAAGGATTGACATGTGAAATGAAAATTGATCAAACAATGTTTTAACGGGAAACCTTTCAAAAATGTTTTAGCACTCTAAATTAAAGTACCTTTTCATGTCAAGATTAATAAAAACTCACAAAGTGGCGTACAGTAGATGCATTCCATTTTATTTTATGAATGCTTCTGTCCGAGTTGACAAACCTACCACTGGACTACAGTACCTGCTTGGTTGTGAGATTGAATAACTGTTCTAACAAACCACAGTGAAGGGAGTGAAATGTGAAAGGCTGCTATAGCCAGATTTCAGTTTAGCCTGTGCTAATTGGGAGTTCCTGTTATATACTGTACAGTTTGTGTGTTGAAACATGCATGGTGTAATCAAACTGAGGACATGAAGATTCATTTTGGGACTGTTTAAACTTAAGCTCATGCAACAGATCAGTAGCGGCAAATCAGTAAGTAATCCATTAGTTTGGCTGGAAATACTGTTCGGTCATAACTGAGGCTGCACATGTATAAGTTGACTTAAATCTTGTGCATATTTGATAAAAAAAACTTTATATATGCGAGGCTCTAAACGTTTTTCATGCACTGTAACCTTCTTGGGAGGCACAGTGGCACAGTAACTAGCATTGCTGCTTTGCAGTGCTGTGGCCCTGAGTTAATTCTGGACCTGGGGTGCTGTCTGTGTGGAGTTTGTATGTTCTCCTTGTGTTTGTGCAGGTTTCCTCCAGGTGCTCTGGTTTCCTCCCACAGTAAAAATATATTGCCCTAGGTGTGTTTGTGTCTGGGTGTCTGGTCTGTGACAGGCACTGTGCCTGTTGCTTGTTGGGATAGGGTCCACTGCGACCCTGATTTTGCAAAAGCAGTTAAAAATGGCGGATGGAAGTAACCTTCTTACTTCTTACCTTCTTCAGTACTGATTTATAGACTTTATTCCACAATTTACATGAGTCCTGTGTATTGCTTTCTTTATTGTGTATTGAGGTTCTATAGAAAATGCTGGGTAGTCTTTAAGTCAGGCTTGGCCAGCCATGAAAGTGTAGATACAAACTGACAGGTCTTACACATCACCGTTAAATCATTAGCCTGTAAAGACATGGAACACAAGAGGTTTGATCAATTTAGTTTCAAGTTAGATTAGGAATGGTAATCAGGGGTCCTTGAGAATTGCCAGGTATTGATATTTTCCTTTCAGATCATCTTCAAACCACTTAATTGAGCAAATCCCCTTGACTAAGAGGTCAAAATGAAATTGTTCCAGGTTTTTAGAAATTAACAAATTTAGGCGACTGTACTGTATATCAGGTTGATATCCCTGCATTAAGAGTTACTTCCCACGTTTTCCCATTATATCCTGTCAGTTCCCTTAACCTTTTACATCACATGAATTCCCTCTGTGGGCGTTTCCTGTCAGGCTACACAATCAGAGTTTGGGAAATGGGCAAAGTTCTGCCCCAGTTTAACTGTTTCAAAGCGTGGTGGACACAACTGCCCTGCAAAGGCAGCAGGTGAAATAAATTCCCTCACAATCCTGTTTCTTTAACAGTTAAAATACAAGCTTATTATTTTAACTGGAGGCTATGATAAAAAAAACAACTATTTTAGTAATATGGGGGGCATCCAGCAAGTTTAACATTCTTGTATGGTGAAAATATATTGAAGTATCTTATAGTGACTGTATGGTTTTTCTTCTTCTTAGGTCTGTATCTCTGCCTCACTCTGATTTTGGGGGTTATGTCTTCATGTCCCAGTGGATTTACAAATCTATCTAATGGAACATGTACAGGTATGTTTTACAGAAGTACAGTAAAAATATATTCAATGTCACATTAGAATTACTTGGAACAGACTCTCTATAAAATAGGTCCCCACCCCATCATTTCCATGGATTGTACTTTGACACTGATACCCTGCCTACACAGCTGGACATCTGACTGCCCTGAACTTGTTTTGGACTGTTGAACTTTAAAGGCTAATTGGTATTCCAATTAGTCACTGTTCTGCAAATCAATTTTTTTTTTCATTCTCAGATGTGGATGAGTGCAGAGGAGATAAATACTGTCCTAATAATGCATTTTGCTTCAACACAATTGGAAGTTTCTTCTGTCAGTGTGAACCTGGGTTCAGATCATCTTCTGGGAAAACCAATTTAACATTCACTGAAACATGTGAAGGTAAGAACACTGCCATTTTGTGTCTTCTTGTTTCATCTTGACACAACCTACTGTATTTACAGCTCCCTTTACCATAGAGGCTAAAGAAATACAGTATGTTGTGTTCTGCGAGTTATTTGAGTTGAAATCAATCTGACAAAATAAAATATGAGAGCAGGGAAAGTGATGCATTGTGATTCTACCTACTTAAAGGGACTTTGTTACAAGAGATAAATTATATTCAACTAAGAGTCAACATAGCCAATAATATTTTAAAAAAATATCTGCTTTTCTTTTTATTGTGCCACCTAATTCTGTGTAGCTCATTACAACCCAGTGTTTCTGTCCACTTTTTATTGTTGAAAGCTTGATACTCTTTGTTATCCGAGCTACAATCCATTAACACTATTGAAAATCAGTATTGTGCTCTCATTCTCTCCCTAATGCAACCCGCCTTGAAGAACTTCAGTTGACTTGTTAATTCCTGGCAGACTTGGAATCCAGCCTTGTTAAAGCTTATTTTGGAAAGGAGGTTGCATTATATTGTCTCCCTACGGGTTTGCTTTACAGTATTGCACCATAGTTTTGCAGTATGCCATTGGAATAACATGGTAATGCTACACTATATTTACCAAGGTAAATGTTTACAAGGCTAAACAAGAAATAACCCTTAACTGCAGCTAAACTGTAAACAATAGCTTTTTAGATAAACTATGCATTGAAATAATAATTTTCTTTCATTGGATACCAGAACTGTTGGCTATATATGAGTATATTTCCCACTTCAGGAATAAAATGGTTGAATACTTGACAGTCAGGTCATTAGTGACTCAAAGCAGTACCTCAGCAGAAACATCACACTCTGTGAACAATAGTCACCTTTCTTTTCTGTCACACTGAGTTGTTTAATAAGGATGCATACAGTTCATTTCCTGGTCTGACTCTTAACTCGTACCTTCACGTCATTTCCACAGAAATTAATGAGTGTCGAGAGAACAAAACGATTTGTGGTCCAAATGCTACATGTAGTAACACAATTGGAAGTTATAACTGCACTTGCAATAAAGGATACAAAGCAAGTCCCGGCGAAGACAAGTTCAACACCAACCTGGATGTCACATGTGAAGGTAAGTGAATCAGATTTAAAAAACTATTGTGCTGTGTTTCCTTCTGTAAGCCCTGAAATTCATTTGGCTTTTTGTGTTGTGTGTCACCACTTTTTAAATACTTTCTAATTTACTAATTTGTCTTTTGAAATCGGGTTTTTCTTCTCCTTATACCACTTAGCCGTTGTTTTTTAATATAACACAGCTGGCAGCTACAGCTGTGCCTGAAATCCAGGGCTCGGCACCTCTGGAACCGGGACGCAGCTCAGAGGGTGAAGTGAAATTGTGGATGGTGCAGTGTCACCTTGTGCTACATTCTATATCAACAGAAATAATTTCTTTATGTGGAGAGTTCGAGTAACAAGGAGGTATTATGGTTACCTAAAACTACGTGTTGGTATTGTCACCTGTCACTCCATGTCTTGTTTTTTCCCAGACCCCCTAGTTGTGCATCTCGTCACTTTC